AATTAATAGAATTTCTAAAATTGCCTTTTCTAAAATAGTGTGAAAATTTACATGTAAACGAAAAATGTGATGTTTTAATAGCAATGATTTTGTTTTTTTAATTTATTTTGTATTATCATTCGCTATTTGAAATTTTAGTTTCAATTCGAAATTTATTCGAGTGAAGGTGAAGATAGCAAATTTTACTTTACTGCATCTTGCAATATATAGTCTATATCTTACTGTAATTGCCAATAAGCTGAATTTTATCCTAAAATATCTTGAAACTTGAAACGAGTCAATATAACAAAAATTTTTGACTCTAATTAATTTACATATGAGAATTTTCCAAATTAAAATTTTCCAAATATTTTTCTTAATATATTGAGAAAATATTTCACATAAGATGAATTGAAAATCTTTAATATTTTTAAAAAATTTATTGCCACTTTAAAATATCAAAAGAAAATGAATGAACAATACAATTATCTTTTTTAAACTTGAATACTTAAAATTACAAAATGTTTTTGTATATTTAAAAAGTACCTTATTTTAAAGAAATAAGTGCTCTTTAACGATCGAATAAGATGTCTTTATTTAAATTTGGTATATAATTATGTAGCTCACAGAAAAAAAAAATAAATTTTAAAATTTCCGGTAGCAATTTTTAGCTCTTTTTCACTAATACACACACTATAATTTGTACATATCTTATTATTCAATATATAATTTAAGGTAATGTTATACTGGCATTGTTACAGTTTTGTAATTGTAGTAATTGCAGTATCGATCGTTATAAATTTCGAATATATTTGATAATTATTTTATTATTTTTGATCGGATATTCTTTTATTTAGTCAGACTTAAGATACGCTTTAAAATACAATGTTGCGAGAAAATACATGTCTGAAGGAAACAAAATTGTTTTCATTACGACACTTTTAGGAACAAGAACATTTGATTAGGAATAAGGACAACGTGGCGTAGCTGCCATTGTTCTTATTTTTTTACGAGTTTTAATTGCCTTTATGAGTGTCTGGCAACTGGGCTCTCTTAAAAAATTTGTCAAAAAATTGACAAATTTAAATTGTACTTTAGAATATTCCTAAAAATGCCAACAACATTTTCAATTTAACCATAGAATTTTCCTTTTGTTACAACATTATTACTTAATCTATTATTTCGACTTACACTTTTTTGAATAAGTCAGAAACTATTTTTATGCATGATGTTTTTTAACTTGTTGTAGGCTATTAAAATATTTCCTATATAAGACGTTCTTGCTAAGCTTCGACATCTTTATCGACTTAACAAGACATATCTGTTCGTTTGAATTTCTGTCCGTTTGAATATCTGAATTTAGATTCAAACTTTAGCAGTGAATATACTCCTCTAAGAGATACATAGCATTTGAACTGTGATATAATATCCTATATATTATATTTAAAACAGCTGCAGTTTTAGGAATAAAATTCATTTTTAAACTTAAGACTCTATATACTCACCACCTAAATATTTTTAAATAATGTGTGTTTGGCGATGATTAAGGATGTATAGTGCTTAAGGGCCTAATCGTTTTATCTTCCTTCAGCAAGTGAGAAGAAACTTAATAACTGTTATATATTTGTGTAATGAAATTTTTGGCTGAGAAAAATTATTCGCTATTGCGTATCTCGTTTTTTCCTAAAATGTATACAAAATTTCTTCACTTTGTTTTCAAAAGTGAGACATTCACTCGATAATTTGAGAAACAGTGAAAAATTCTAATTAAAAAAATGAGCAATCTTATTGGAAAAATGAAATATCCATTAGAAAAAAATGAGATTTCTGATTTGAATGTGAATAAAATGTGAGTAAAATTCGAGATATACGACTAGGCTGTAAATTTTACACAAATACATTAAGTAATAGGTTAAGTATTTAGTTTAAATCCGCTCTCCGCCTTCCTTATCTAAAAAAAAACATTATTCTTAGGTAAAAAATTGTAATTAAAATATTTATAAATGTTTTTTAATCAATACTTGATCTATTAATTAATTCGTTCATTTAATTATTTATTTAATTTTTATTTAATTTTAATGATTTATCATTTCCGGATAATTAAAAAAAAAAATATATCGTAACGTTAATTGCGTTCTTATATACGAAAATCTCATTAGATTACTTTTGTACACTAAAAACGCCGCGTGTGTGGGCAATTAATATCTCTGATATTGTTTTTTTATAATTATAATAATATCGTTTTTAATTTTATATGGTAAAATTATGCATTTAAAATTTTTTATTAATTATTAATTTTATATAATTACAATCTTATTAATTTTAATCCTGTTAAAAAATTAAATATTATATAATTGAATTTAGTAGAGATTAAGTTTGTATACTTCTATTTAATTATTATTTTTTTTTTATAATTATGGTACCTTTTAGTCCCACCCAAAACAATAATAGTAAAAAAATTTAATGGTAATAAAATGCAATAAAAAATTAACTTCTTATCGTTAGAATTTTTAGTGTTAATGTTTAAAAAGACCGAAACGAACAAAATAACAATATTATTCCAATATATAGTAGACAATAACGTAATCTTGCAGTACGAGTGATCGTAAAATTAAATTACTTTTTTTTTCCAATACATAGTTTATTACACATATGGTAGTAAAATAAGTGTTTTTTTGTTTGCGTTTTTCATCCTGCACAGTTGCATTTTTGATTGTTGTTTCAATCAATTTTCCATTTCAAAACTCTTAAAATTCTTTCATAAAACATTATTTAGTTACGCTAAATATCATGGAACATCTAAATCACTTTGATTGGGGATGACTTTAAGTTCGGATTTGATTGTTTTTCCACTGTTCTTTTTGTTTTCTTTGTAACTTTGTTAGTTATTATATGAACACATTCAATTTCAATTGATTTGATTTATTAATGCCAGCCAGAGAAAAAAAAATGCAATCTTATTTGAGGATGTGCATGCATATTGTACTTTTGATGGACGTAAAAGTCATTAATATGAATTGATGTGCAATATTCATTTATACATATTTGTGTAGATGTGCATACGTATTCACTTTAAACACATACTTAATTGTATTTATTGCATCATTTCTTTTGGCATTTATGTTCAATTCATCATTAACTTTTAATCTTTAAACTTAAAGTAATAAAAATTATTGTATATCTACAAAAAAAAAATCACAAAAAGTACAAAGTAAATAAAATTTTTGTTGTTTTGTCCGCAGTAACATAATAGAACCAATGAGTAATGAGTTAAGGTGCCAGAGTAAATAAACAGTAGGAACTGGCCAATGAAAGTATGAAAAATAATATGTCCGTACATAGATGTAGTTTTATATAGTATGGTTTTTTTAATATATTTAAAAAACTATGAATATTTTACACATTTTAAAATTTTTTTTTACGATCTCACATCAAAAAAGTCATTTAAAAAAATTATGAACGTTTTCCAAATCAATTGTAATTCAAAATGATTGCATATTATATTTTATGTTTTATGCAATTTTATTTTAAACTGCTGTTAAATGCTTAATAACTTTGTGATTTGTAATACACTAATAATACAAAAGTTGTAAACAAAAAAGAAATAATCCTATAAGAAAAAGGAAGGCCGAATATGGTAAACCCTCATAATATTTTTACTATAGCTAAATATTGTTAGAAACTAATAAAAATGGAAAGGAAGGAAGAAGAAATTGGCATTTAAAGAAATTTTTTTTTTTAAAACTCCAACAAAAAATTATAAATGTATGTGTGTATGAGTTAATGTGTTTACATATGTGTTTTTTTGTCAATTTTAATTTTTAACTAATTGAATTTTTATTGAGCTGGGTTTTACGTATGTTTTTCCCGAGCATTTTGTACTTTTGTTACGCACATTGAATGAAATTTTATTTGTTATTGATGTTGACCATTCTGCTAACTCCCATTACTGTCTTCTATAATTTTAATTTAGTTACTTACTTCTATAAATTTCAATTCTACAAATTTAATAACGAAAAATAAGATGGCTTTATAAAAAGTACTTAAATACTTAAGAGGAGTGTTAATATTATTTTGATTTTTACAAAAAATTACTAAAAATTAGGACAGTGGTTATATACAGTGGCAAACTAAGGCCTAAAACATAAAATTAAATTTTAAGTCCTAATTTTGCTTTAAATACTTTTAGTTGTTTTCCATGCTTCAAACGATTTTGTATGAAAATACTTAGATTTGTGTTCAAATCGACTAAACACCACCTATTGGAGAAAAAGAAAAAATTTATTAATTTTGTAAAGTAAAGTGATCAAATTCGTTGATTGCGAATTACATAAAATACTTAAAAGAAAAAACTTTTTTTGCCAATTTTTACGATGTAATGTAAAAATTTTTGATTATTACAGTTATTATTTGATTATTATTAGAAATATGGTGGTTATTACTTTTCCAACTCGAATAAACCAAAGGTGAAAGTATGCTACAATGAATATACTACAATACTATACGTGACAATGTGTTTAAAACTTTTATGTTCAAATCGGTTTTTATGATTATTTTACTCTTTTAAAATCTTAAAAAAAAAAATAGCAATGATTTTTGAATCTCTTTAATTTAAAAATATTTGAGTGTGCAAATAAAATTTTTAGATTTTTATTGCTATATATAAATATTAAAATTATTTATGTGTGACTTAAGGAAAAAATGGAGTAAAAACAAAGTAATGTGCTGTTCGAAAACCATTAGTAATAATTATGCCTAACACGAAATGAAAAATAACGTTCAAATGCAAGTAGAATGCGTCTAGAATACATTCTTACTCATAAAATATAAATTCTTTTACTGTATTACGTTATTTTCTATTTAAAATTTTAATGCTTTGGCAACATTGTAATCTATATTAGTTATGTGTATTGGCAATAATATGAGAAAATAATTTTCTTACTGGAATACTTTTAAAATTAAATTACATGTAATTTAATTTAATTTTTATTTTTATATATACTTTGTTTTTTCGTTTACAGATTTTCAAATGTAGGATTTAGATATCATCTAGAAAGTCCTATTAGTTCATCACAACGTCGTGAAGATGATCGAATAACATATATAAATAAAGGACAATTTTATGGTATTACATTAGAATACATTCCAGATCCGGATAAACCGCTTAAAAATACAACAGTTAAGGTAAGAATTTATTTTTTTCTTTTAAAAATTATAAAGAAGAGGAAAATAGAAAGAGAAACTTAATTGTAATATTGTTGAAAATTATGATTGGCCATAAACATATTATTATGTATTTAAATCTGCTTTGAAAACAATTTTCTAAACGATTATTTATATAGTAAAAGTTAAAATTATTTTGATTTTTCCGATAGTAAAAATGTTAATTTGAATCTCTTAAACGACTTATTGGTGGTTGATTATAAATACAATGTTACAAGATGATAACGGATTTTATCGATACCTTGGCGAGAGTTAAATAAATTTCGCTTATGTTCGTATTATATTCGTATTTCCTTTAATTTACCGTATAAGTTTTTTATTAATCAGAATATATTCTACTTGATTGGAGTGGATTTTAACTACATTTTGGTTTAGGTGTTGATTTTGTGTATTCTGCATACTGTAATTCTTTAACAGTTTCAGTTTTTAAGACTCAAATATTTTAAACGCGAAAATTATAAGAGAAAGCAAACCGACGTTCAGATATTTAACAAATAATCGATTTTGAAATTCAATTCTGGTTAAATAAATCATGAGGCTACCAGCAATTGTTCTATTTTAATATATGAAGATCATGTACTAAAATTTGATTTTATTCATTAGTTTTTTCAATATGTTTTAAAAAAAGTCAATTTCCGTATATCATCCCAGTAAATCCTTTACTCTCATGTTTTCAATCCTTTTCCAGAAATGCTTTTTTTATTTTATTTTTAACTTACAAATTATCATTTGAGTCATTTTTTTTGTGTACTTTTGCATTAAGAAAATAAGAATTAATGTTGATCCTTTAAAAAATGCATTAATATTTACGGTATTTGAGATTTATTTATCCTTAAAGCAATACCTAGGAACTAGAAAAAATCATTTGATATCCTTTTGAATGCAAATGTACTTATAGAGGAGGCATTCACAATATATGACTTTAAGGTATATAGAGAAAAAAAAACGTATAAAAAAATTATTGTACATTTAATTTTTTTTTTCCAAATGCAAAGAATTAAGCATGAATGATGAATGTGCATAATTCTTTTCTTTTTATGAAAATCCTGAGAAGTTCCGTTCTCTCGATCTTCATCTGAGTTAATTTTTTTTTTACTAAGTTCGTGATCCTCGTTAGAAGAGAAATTTCTTTGAATAAAAATTTCATAAATTTTCTTAATGCATAGATCTTTGAATGACGAGAAAAAAAGGAAGAGGGCAATTTTTTTTGCTTAAAATTCTTTTTCTGTATACGAAGGACGATTGTGACAAAGGTAGGTAAAACAAACATAAATTTTATGTAGATGTCAGTTATTTGGTTTTATTTTTATTACTCCTTAGTTGCTCCTTAGTTTTACTACACAGATTGTTTATTTCTTTTTTTTTTTTTGTTGTAATTGAATGTTGAATGAACAAATTTCAATTTGAATATAATATTTTTTTTTATGATCCTGTCAAGATGTAATTAATTGGAATTTTATGTTAACACATTTGGTCCTTTTATTTTTCCATTATTTCATTATTTTGTTACATTTTTTTTTATTTTTTTATTTTTTTCCTCAAAACAAAAAATGAAGAAATGATAATATACAAAAGAAGTAGCTATTTGAGTGGAGGGAGAAACTTGAGGTTTGTAACAAAAATGTTTAAATCTAAATTTAATTAAAATTAATATTGAAGGAATGGTGTAAGATTGGAAAGCAGTCTGTTCAATTGAAATAAGCAAATTATATACATATATTATATGTAATATATAACACATATCGTATTAAATATATAGTGCAAGACTTAAAAACGATTCAACTTAATATTCTGTAGAATTGTTAGTAAAATTATTTTTCTTTCTTAAGTTTAGGTTGATTTCACGAAAATTACCTAGAGAAGAAATTTTTATAGGTATGTGCAAATGTATTTATAGCAATACGAAATTATCCGCCTAATGCCAGTTTAACTGACCAAAAAATTTGTTTATTTTTAAATTGTTATTTACACTTACTTTTCCCGCTTAAATTATTACAATTTCGTAAAATTTCAACCGACGCTAAAAATTATCAAAATTTTTGAGAATGTTAAACTATTTCTTACATTGCGGTAAAGTTTTTCAATTAGACCATTACGATACGATCATTATTATTTTCTTTACTTCTAAACCACATTTAAGATTAAAATTTCTTGGGCATTAATTACTTTTTAACAGCTTCAGTATTAAATCTATTTTGCAGTGGCTATAACATCTTTTTCCTTTTGCAGAAATCAGAAAATTATGAATTTCAAAACTTCTTTACTCAAAGAACACAAAGAGCTTCTGTTACTTCGTCTTACCGATTTCATTTATTTTATTGTTTCACTTCTCTTAGTTATCTCAACAAGCTTCGAGCAGTTGCATAATAATTTAAATTCATACACTTTAGTATCCTACTCTTGTATTTTAATACAATTGGTAATTGCAAAAGTCTACTAATTTCTATATAATCCAATTTGATTCCCAACAATTTTCTACCCTAGAAATATAATATTTTTGTTCAGTTTACCAGTATGAACTGCTAAAAGTTGCCAGTAGAAAATAAGATTAATATAAATTTAAATTCTTATAAAAACAAATATTGTAATTTTACAGATTGGATGCTTTTTTTTTTGTCAATTAAAAAAATTTTTTAAGTGTTGAAATATTTTGTCTATTTTTAATATTTTCACGTCAGATTTCTTTTTTAAGTCACTAAAAAAAAATTCCTTTACATTTCTGATGGATGATGTGTACATGTGTGTGTGTGTATTAAGTTGTCTTTTAGAATCGAAGAAAAAAAAAATAAAATATACAAATCATTTTTCATTCTGTATGATCTCATCATTTTAAGATGAGAAGAAGATGTTCATATGTAGACGAAGATCCATTGCAATGTACAAATATCATATCCAAATTAGTTTCGGTGCTGAATCATGCAAATTAATGTTGATGTTGTTGATAATTTTTTTTTTGTAGCTTTATACGTTAAACTCTTTACATCAATCATTTTATATGAATTTTTTTTTTTAATAAAAAGTTAAAATAACACCCTTTTGCGCGATTTTTATATTGTATATATACGAATGAATAGATTAAATATATAGAGGGTTAAAAATTTTGGAGTAATAAAATATTACGATCAACTCGAATTTTAAGGAATAACAGAAAGAAAGCAAAAGAAAATCTCTAAAGTAAAGACGAACATTTAGTTGATCCTGCAGAATTCGTAAAGAAAAAAAATATTGAAATTTTTTCTTAAATATTCAATGTTTGATTTGATGATTTGGATTTTATTGTTTGATTTACGGTATAAAAGGTATATATGTAAAACTTTTTATCTCTCCATCAATCTTCAAATTAAAAAATTTTAAAAGGATCAAAATAAAAAAAATTGGAACAAATTTGCATATATGAGAAAAATCATCGACTTTCAAAGATGCCCGATAACATTTCGTTTTCAGTTTTTCGTGTTTTTTTTTTTACTGACGAAGAATTTGTAACGGCAGCTTAGATAAACCCTTTAAATAAATAAAACAAAAATATATAATTTTTTTTTTTTTTTTTTAAAAAACTTTCCTTTATTTTCAAGTTGAATGGTGAAAGAAAAAAAGCTGATCGAATAAAAATGTTTTATTCTTCTATATATTTTAAAAAAAATTGTGTTGCTAGAGGCGATTTTCTGGAATACAAGAAATTTAATGATGATCTCTTTATTAAATTTATTTTTATAAAATACAAAGAGTAGCAAAAATATTATAATCTTATTTATAATGAAATATGATAAAAAGAAAATAAATATAAAATGCAATTTTGAAAATCGATTAAGTATTTTCAAATATGAGTTACTTTACGTAATAAGTTAATCATTACAGATACCCCAAATTGCAAATTAAGAAAATTGTATTTCCAAAAGATCATTGCTCTTTAATTTATAAAGAATTTTTAAGATCGTACAAGATTTCATTAATGAAAGTCATTTACATTCTTTTGCATCGCTCTTGTCGCGAAAATTTCCAGAACAATTGAATTGATCATACCTCAATTTCATTGTTACATTCCACTAAATAACTTACTTAAAGTAATAAATATAATAATGTCAGTAACCTATAACAACACCTACTTGAAATTTGGTTAAATTACTCGGAACATTTAACTAACCACTAAAGAAAGTAATGTTAATTTCTTATTATTCTATAAAGAAAATACAAAATTTAGATTATATGCCAAAAAATTGTAATGCTTAATGACCAAATTCTTAAAGTTATTGAACAATTATTTAAGAAATTGGAAAATAAAATAACGACGTGCAATTAGTTTAAGCCATAAGCAATTATTCAATTAATGTACAAGTATATTTTGAAACGTTTTCATTCTTCATATACATATGAAATATGCAAAAAATTTAAAATTTACTTAATCTAAAAAATTACAATTTTAATCTTTATATAAAAACTTAAATTGACCATTGTTTCAACTTTGGCCTTTTAATAATAATCTTTCATTTTTTTGCATTTTTTTCTTTCTTTGAATTACTAATGTCCTACAGCATCATTCATTCACCTGTCGGCTTATAAGATATAAAATATCATTTCAAAAAAAAAAAAGAGGAGTTTTAAGAGAATGTACGCAATTTTCCTGGATTGAATATTTTTAGTGAACTTCACTTATATTTCAAAAAAAATTTTTTTCCTGCATGTCCGCTACTACAATTCTCTTTTCTTTTGGTTTTCTGAATCATTCTTGCTTATATAATTTAACTATTAAATGACAAGTACATTTTGTTTTAAATGTTTTAGCAAAATTTCAGGAAATTAATTTTCATCTTAACAGAACTGTGTGCCATATAACACATTGCCACATAACACTTTAACTGGAGTAGTCCGAAATTTAAATGAAAATCTAGAGCTTCTTTTTTTTGGAAAGTTTGCCTGTATTCAACTTCTTATACTCACAGTTCTCTTTTTTATCCTCTATTGTT